CACTTTCTATTGGGATTATAATTGACTTCAGAGGTCAGTCCCTAAGAGAAGGCTGGAAAATGTTTTTAAAAAAAAAAAGGTTAATTTTGGAAAATTTAAATATAGGATAAAAAGTCATTTGTAATCTCATCACTTTGAAACCACCACTTGCTTATATTTACTGTTTTTGCTGGAGTTTTCTTTCATTTAGATCTTTTCCCCATAGTTGTTATTATAATACGTATAACTTCAAGCATGTATGAAGCAGTAGCAGCGTTTGCCAAAACAAGTATTTGACGTCCTAGGAGGACTACTTACCACCAGTCATTTACAAGGATAAGTTTAGATGTGCTCACACCTGTGGGGTTTTTTTATGTTTATTTATTTTTGAGAGAGAGAGACAGACAGAGCATGAGTGGAGGAGGGGCAGACAGAGAGGGAGACACAGAATCCGAAGCAGGCTCCAGGCTCCGAGCTGTCAGCACAGAGTCTGACGCAGGGCTCGAACTCACACACCCATGAACCCATGAACTGTGAGCTCGTGACACTTAACCAACTGAGCGACCAGGTGCCCCGCTCATACCTGTGTTTAACCATGACTTTTAATACCCTATTGTTAGAAGCTGAAGGAGGGACAGTAAAGCATCCTCTGAACTGAGAAGGCACTTTGAGACCAGAAAACATACAGTTTCCTGGGGACTGCATACAGTTTACGTGATTTTGTTCAGGGTGACTCTGACGGGGGGATCAGGTGAGCAATGCCCCAGAACTGCACAACTATTCTCTGCCAAGTCCTGATGGTAGGCTGTAGATTTTCTAGAGGGAAGGGATATGCAGAGAGCACTGTGCTGAGGCCAGAGGGACTAACGCTTGACAGACCTCATGGCCCCCTCTGGGTACCAGAAGAGGGGGGAGAAATCTATGCTATGGCTACTAGTTATCTCAGCATTGTTAGGAGAGATCAAAGCATGCCTTTCCCCATTCTGATCAGGGCATACAGTAACCTCCAAGGAGCCTGGATTACATACCCCCAAGGAGTTCAATGCATGGACACGAGCAAGATGGAGGGCCAAAGATGGAGTGGGTGTGGTCAGCACGCCTACGATTGTGGGGCCTGACATAGGAGGCAATGTATTCATTCACTCACTAGACAGATACATTTCGTGTCACTTAATATGTGCGGGGCACTGTGCTAGCACTGGGGATAGATCGGTAAATAAGACACCTAACCGAAGGTCTCAGGTCTCAAGGAATTTTCAATATGGTGGGGGAGATGGCAAGAATAAAGAAAAATAACTTCAGTCTGCAATAAGCTTTGTGAAGGCAATAAACAGGCGATGCGTGTGAGATGGGAAGGGGCTGCTTCAGGTTGGTGGAACGGTTTCTCTGAGGAGGTGACATTGGACTTCAGAGCTAAATGGTAAGAACAAGCTAGCTAGTAAGGAGCCAGGGTACAAAGGCCCTAAGAGGGGTAAGGATTCTGCTTCTTTGAGTGACATCTTAGAGGAGGCCATTGTGGCTAGAGTTCAGTGAGTATGGAGGGGGCAGAGGAGCAGGTGGAAGAGAGAATGACGTGATTTAATGTAGGTTTTAAAAACACAGGCTTGGGGCGCTCAGTTGGGACAGGCATTTCTCCAGAGAAGGTATGTGAATGGCCAATGAGGGCATGACCATTTGCCCCGACCTCATTCATCTGTAGGGAAATGCAAATCAAAACCACAACGAGATACCACTTCATACCTACTAGAATGAGCATAATGATAAAGGAAAGGGACAATCCTAAGTATTGCCAAAGATGTGGAGGTTTTGGAACGCCTATCTCTGCTGGTGGGGTTGTAAAGGCATGCAGCTACTGTGGGAAGCACTAGGGAACAATTTCCTCCAACTGTTAAATATGGGGTCGCCTGGGTGGCTCAGTGGGTTAAGCGTCCACTCTTGATTTCAGCTCAGGTCAGGATTCCAGGGTCATAAGATTGAGCCCTGCATTAGGCTGTATGCTCCATGTGGAGCCTGCATCAGATTTTTCTCTCTCTCTTCCTCTGCCCCCTCCCCTACTCGCACTCTCCCTCTGAAAAAAATAAAATAAAAAAGGTCAGTCTGGATGCCTGGGAGGGGGTGTGGGGGTAGGAAGGCTTGGCGGGGGCAGGATTAGAAGCCGAGGAACCATTAGAGGTGGTGTGGTAACTCAGTAACAGATGACAGGGCTTGGCTCTGGGGTGAGGACGGTGGAGGGAAGTCGGTGGAATGAAACACGTGTTAGAGGTAGACCCCATAGGTCTGGGGATACATACTGGGGGTGAGGGAAGGGTAGGGAAAGGCATGATGTTTCCCTTTCTTCCTGAGCAGCTAGATGAATATAATAGTGCCATTAACTGGGGAAGAAAGAGGACTGGGGTGCAGGGAGGACCACACGTTCCGTTTTAGAAAAACTGAGTTTGCAATGCTGGTGAGATGCCCACATGGAGATAATCAGTAGACCATTAAGGATGCAAGCCTGGCACACGGGGGGCGAGGGCTGGACTGTGACGTTAAAGTTGGGGGCACCAGCATAAAGATGGCGTGTAAAGCCCAGGATGAAGTCACTGAGCAGGGGGTGTAGACGAAGAGAGGCCGGGAGATTATTCTGGGGCAGCCGAGGAGGCGCAGGCGTGCCCTTGCAGGAGCTGTCGCAGAGGAGGGCGGGGCTGCTCGGGTGCTGGTGAGGAAGAGGAGAGTGGGGTGTGCATGGGATGTGGTGACATGAGGGTCCTTGGTGACTGACAACAGGCACTATCCGTGCAGCAGAGGGGATGGGCTCCAGGTTGGGTGGATTGAAGCAGGCACTGGAGGTGAGGAAGTGGGGCCACCTGTTAGATGTATTGGGAGCATAGAGACGGGAGGTCACGGGGGCGGGCGTGAGGTCAAGGTCGTGTGTGTGCATACGTATGTTATAAGATGGGAGAGAACAGAACACGCTTGAATGAGAGAGAGCATATGGGAGAGGAGCTCAGGAAAAGGGGGGGTCGCAGGGCAGTAGCTCCTTGCGAAGATAAAGAGGTGGAATCTAGGGCTTGACTTGAGAGGAGGGAGGGAGGCTGTTGAACCAGAGAAGGAAGTTCAGACACAGGCACGTTTCTAGGATCCACGATGAGAAGACAGGGGCCTCACAGCCAGAAGTCCGAGGAAACGGGGGCGGTGCCGTGGCTGCCCCCGAGGGTGGAGACGTGCGCACGTGGCGGGACCCCGCGGGGAAAGGCTGTGGGCTCCTGCACCACTGCCTTGGGGTTGCGGTTATGAATTCAAGGCGAAAATGGTCACACTGATTATGTGCAACCCTGGGTTTCTTGGGTGCAGGTAGAAGGAGCTGGAGAGTCGGGTTCTTTTAGGGCCTTGGCGGAGAGAGAGAAGGACGAGCAGGGTGATGGGAGGAGGGCCACAGGGGCCCGAGGGAGGGCGGCGGCCCGGGATGACTGACGGGAGCCTCAGGGTTGTTGTCTTGCCGAGAGAGGACGCCGGGGAGGACAACAGGTAGCAGGTGGAGTGAGGCCACACTGCAGGTGTGGCCCTGGGAAGGGTGTCGGGGGTGGGGCAGAGGAGGAGGTTTTCGGAGGCGTGCAGGTTGGACCTGGGAGGTGGGGGTCGGGTCCACACGTGTGTGCACAGTGCACGTGTACATGTGTGGCCCCTGAGGAGGCTGTTGGCGTGGGATGGAGGCACATCGGTGAGCCCTCAGGCGGTGGGAGGGGTGAGGGACGGCCCCTGGGCAAGGGCAGCTGGGAAGGCTTACCCGAGGCAGGGGTTTTGAAGCAGTGTTGCTGTGCAGATGGTGGGGGGAGGCCTGGGGCCCTGAGGCCTCAGCCCAGCCCATCAAAAGATGTCGCAGGAGGCTCTTGGTCTCTGGAAAAAGATGTCGAGGCCAGACACAGCGCAGCGGATGAGCAGTACAGGCCGGAGAGCCTGCTGAAGCGGAAGTGTGCTCTGGAGACGTGAGGCCAGGCGAGCCCAAGGAGAGCCGCGCCGCTGGGCCTGGACTTCGCCTCTCACCGGCGGTTGTTAGCAACGGGGTGGAATCGTCATTCCTTGAGTCGGGGATTTCTTGGAAGCGGGGGGTCTCTTCCAGGAATGCGGGTTACTCGCTTTTCTTCCTGATTTGGTGGGGGGGCTCCTGTCAGGGCTTAGTGCAGCTTTGTCAGCCATCTGGGGCCTGTCTGGCTTGATCCGGTTTCTCCTGGGTTTTGGAGTGCTGCCTGGACGAGGCCTGTGGCTTCCTCTCTGCTGGCCTCCAGGCCTCCGGTTAGAACCTGACCGCCCGCCTGCTCTGACAGGAGGAATGGTCTGGAAGCAAGGAAGGGCCTCCTCACCTTGTGTCCCTGAGGCGCTAGGGGTGAGGGCACGCCGGGGGAGGCAGGTTCCTTGGGGGAGGCCGCCTGTCAGTGCGGGCGGGAGGTGAGAGCGCGCCTCGAGCGGAGGCTGAGTACCCAGGGGACCGACCCTGCTCGCGGGCGGGGGCAGTGAGGTTGTCAGGGCAGCGCCAAGAGAGCCGAGCCTCGGGGTCACTGGGAGGCGCAGGCGTTCCTGCCTGGGGACCTGGCCACCTGACGTAGGTCGGACTCTCGGGACTAATTTGCCAAAGAGAAAAGGAGCCCAGGAAACCTAGTCTTCCCCAGGCTCAGTTCCATGCCCGCTTTGTGCAGGTGTTTGGGACCAGATGGCTGTGTTGCTGAGGGCCTGGGGCCCCTGGGCTGTGGGGACAATGCGCTTCCCATCAGTCACCAGGGCAGAGCCAGACCTGGGGGAGGCGGCGTTCCTCAGCAGAGCCCTTGCTCCTCAGCAGAGCCCTTGCTCGTCTTGAGGGGCCTCCCTCCCTTGTCGGGCGCTTAGCCTGGCCCAGAGGATGGGGCCCCTCCTCTGTGTCTCCGCCGCCGCTGGAGGCCTTGGCGGGCTCCCTCCAATGGAAGACTTCTGCCTCCCAGGGTCCTATACTTTGTGTGGCCTGAGGCCCGGATTCTCCCTCAAGTAACTTGCTCTGCCTCCTTTTACAGCGTCTCATCACTCGTGCTTCCTTCTCTCAGCATTTCCCCGTTCAGATCCCAGAGGGGACAATTGATTGGCCCCGCTCACCGTTTGGCTCCGGCCTTGCAGAAGTGCCATAGGTGGGATTCCCGTCCCTGAGCAGGTCGCGGGGCCAGAGGTGATGTCGCACATGGTGCTCAGGGCTGTGGGACAGAGCGGATGCGTCCGGCTTGGATGGCAGTGCAGGGGCGGTGGGTTTTCCAGTTCCCGGTGATGGGTGCAGCCCCGTGAGGGCCTGACGCCTGCAGAGCAGGAGGGCAGGGGTGACGAAGGCCGCGGAGACGTGGGTGCTCAGGCTGACTGTCCTTCCTCTTGTCACAGCACTGACGTGTTCATCTGCACGAGCCCCATCAAGATGTACAAGTACTGTCCCTACGAGAAGGTAAGCAGCCTGCTGGGAGTGGGCCTGGTGCTCTGCCTCTCCTCAGTGTTACCCTCCGTGCAGCGGGTGAGGCGTGCTGGCGCTCAGCACCCCCCCGGGGGAGGGGCGCGGACCCTCACAGCGCCGCCTTTGCCGGCTTGGGGCCCCTCGTACCTGCCTCTCCTCCCGTCATCTCCCCTGTCCCTGCCAGCAACTCCTCTCCCAAAGGTTGCCCCTAGCACCCGTCTGAAATTCCAGCACATTCTCTGCATGGAGCCTGGCGAGGATGCCAGCTTCTCTGGGAAGGCTGACCACCCCCACGTCAGTGAGGCATCACTTGTGAGGGGCTTCAGGGGAGCCCGCGGAGGCAACCCACACCCAGATGTTAGGGCACGGGAATCCATTCACAGAGTCTTACAAGCTGAAACGGTTACATCACGCTTTGCAACACTCAAGTGTCACCATCTTTATCGAGAAGAACTAGAATTAGAAAAAACCAAGGCTTTTCTGGAATCTGGGAACCTATGGTTGCCAAACCCACAGGAAAGGTGTGTTGCCCAGGATGTGGGCACTCCCACCACAGGTGGGTTCACGGGAAGTGGGGGCAGCCTCCCCAGTCCAGGAAGGTGGGATTGGGGGCCCAGAACCCCTCCTTCAGGAGCCTGCTCAGAACAGATCTTCAGGCATGAGTTTTCTCAAGTGTCTCACACAGTCTCTCCTCTTTCCAACGCCATGTTAGAAACAAAACATACGCAGTCCGCACAACATTAAGTGCCTCGGGTGTGCGGTAAGTGCAATGGGAACTCACCCTTGCTGAGCAGTGAGTTCCCATTCCAATGTCCCAACATGGGCATTATGCAAAGCAGTTGGCAGTCACCATTTCATCCCGTGCTCCCGCATCCCATTCCCTGGCTACCCCCTGACGTTTCACATGAGTTTGGCCAAACTCAAGGGAGCTAAGGACTTAGCATCAGGAAGTATGGAATTAGGACTGAAGGCCTGGTCCGCTGTTTCTAGTAGGGCAGTGATCTGAAGTCAGGTCCCCAGACCAGTGGGATCTGGGTCCCCCAGACATCTGATAGAAGTGGACGTTCTTCAGCCCCTCCATGACCTTCTGGGTCAGAAACTCTGGAAGCAGCCCAGTGTGTTTTACCATGTCCACCAGGTGCACCCGTACGTGTGCGTAACTATTGGCCAGAGTAACTATTTCACCTGTGCTTGCAGTGGGTGGTCCGGGTGATTGTCGAGGGCTCAGTGGAGTGAGATGGAGGAAAGGGTTGTCATTCTTGCATTCCTGGGCATTCGGGCTCCATCTTTATGCCCAGCATCCCACCTGTACAGCTTCAGCCCAGGACTGCCCTCAGACTCTAGACAACTCAAGCCTGATGTCCCTATGTCCTCCCGTCTGTCCGTCCCCCTCAGTAAACTGGCATCGTCCACCAGCCTCTGAGGCTGAGAGCCAGGGAGCCATCCTGGTGATGCCCTTCTTACCCCTCGAGCCCAGGGCATCAAGTTGTAGTTCCTGTTCAGGGCATCTGGCATCCGCCTACTCTCCCCATCATACCACCTTAGCTTAACTTCCCAGATCCACCAAGAGAGCCGTCTACACTGCCTGTTCATCTCAGTTCCACACAGAGCCGGGGAGGTCTTTCACAAAGTAGATCATGTCAGTCTCCTGCTATAAAACCTTTCAATAGTTTCCCATTGCACTTAAGATAGAATTTTAAAGTACCTGCATATACACACACACGAACTCCTCCCCACAACTGGCAAAGCCCCTCCCAGCCGTCTCTCCTGCCATGCTAAGTTCCTGATCCTCTGTTCTTGATGGATGCTCCATGTTCCCATTTCTCCAGCAGGCCCGGTGTTCTTGACTCGGGCCCTTCAACATGCTGGGTCCTCTGCGTGCCTGGCTCCTCCTCATCCATGAGGCCTCACTCAGCTGTCCGCCACCCCATTTGCTGACCGTGTCTAAAAGTTTGTCCTTTCTCTGCCTTGTTGTTCCATCCCTCAGCCCCTTGTTTCCTGTGTAAACACTTGCAAGGAGTTTACATCTCTGTCTATGTCTTCTTGTCTGTCTGTCTCCCTGCTAGACTGCACGCCTCATGAGGGCAGTGACTGTATCTGTGTTGCTTACTTTTGGTCCCAGTGCCTGGCATGCCAGGAGCACTCAGTATTTGCTGTCGGATGAATAGATTCAACAGGCACGTATCAAACGTGTTTTGGCAATGATGTTTGCTATTTATTTGATGCCTCTGCTATGCCAGGCACTATACGTTTGCTATCAGTACGGTGGCTCCCTCTGTAACAGAGGCCTTCTCTGCTGAGAGAGGCGAGGCAGCTCTTCCCTGAGTCTGATGATCGTACCGGCAGCGGGGCTTGGTCCAGAGCCGTGCGTCCCAGAGCCCGTGTGCCCTTAGCTGCTCCCCACCAAGCAGCACATGCCCACTGCAGAGGCCCGGAGGAGGATCTCACTCGGGACTCCCTCGTTGCAGTGACAGCAACGGTGTCTAGCTAACTTGATGAAAAAGAGAGTTTATTAGGAGGCTGTTGCTTTGCTTAGAGAACCGCAGGAGACTCTGAAGGAGCGTCCCGTCGACAAGCTGCGGGGAGCCAGAGCCAGCAGGCGGTCTCTCCAAGCACACGTGCTCCCCACGACCACAGCCCCCTTCATTCCCCGTCTGTGGGTGTGCTGGCCCCAGATTCACGTTCCCGGGAGGGCGCTCAGGTCACACTCCCCGCCCTTGTTCAGGGGAGGGCAGGCATCCTGACTGACGTCCCATTAAGGACAGGGGTCTTTGAAGAGAAAAATTGAGGTGCTGTTATCAGAGGAAGGGGCTCAGTAATAGTGGACAATGGATGCCCTGACCAAACAAAAGAGAAAACAACAAAACCCTGACTACAAAATCTACCACCTTGGTAAATACTCTGTTAATATTTTGAGGTGTTTTTAGTTTCTCTTTGATGCATATTAATTTTTTTAAATTTTTTAAGTGTTTTATTTATTTCTGAGAGAGAGAGAAGAGAGACAGCATGAGTAGGGGAGGGCCAGAGAGAGAGGGAGACACAGAATATGAAACAGGCTCCAGGCTCTGAGCTGGCAGTCAGCACAGAGCCCGATGCGGGGCTTGAACCCCCCAAACTGTGAGATCGTGACCTGAGCCGAAGTCAGACGCTTAACCACCTGAGTCACCCGGGCGCCCCGCATATTAATTTTTTTATGTTTATTTATTTTTGAGAGAGGAGAGGGAGAAACCGGGGTTGGGACAGAGAGAAAGAGACACAGAATCCGAAGCAGGCTCCAGGCCCTGAGCTGTCACCACAGAGCCTGACGTGGGTCTTGAACCCACAAACCATGAGATTATGACCTGAGCCAAAGTCCAATGCTTAACCAACTGAGCCACCCAGACACATTTCTTAGATGCATATCAAATATAATATTTTTTAACAAAACTTAAATCTCATGTATTTTAGCATCCTCTTTCTACTTAATATAGTTTTAGCCTATTTTCCTGTCACCAAATATTCTTGAAAAATATGATTGCTAATAGCTGAAGTCGTCTTGTAAATAAATCTTCATATGATTATGTCCATAGGATAGATTCCAGGAAATAGAAGTCCTGACTCCCACAAGGGGTGTCCACCATGACCCGCACTACAGGGAGGGTCAAACCGTTGGCACTGTGTTGGCAGCGGGCAGGGGCCAGGCCGGGCCACGTCGGGTCAGTCAGTGGAGGAGGTGGGACACTGAACAAAGACATGAAGACAGGAAAATGCGGAGTATGTTTGAGGAACTTTGGGTGAATCGTGTTGGCTGGTGGCCCTAGGGCCTGGCTAGGAGGTAGGCTTGGGATCAGGCTGGGGTGCAAGCTTATCTCCCAGCCCTCTGTCGCCGTTTGCCCACATTGTCACCACCCCCGGGCCCCGGAAGTCAGAGGGGAAGGTTGACTGACTGTGTCCTGCAAAGAGGTGAAAGTAGCTGCAGCCACCTCCTCTTCCACCATCCATGTGACCTCCCATCCCTGGTAGATGGACCCTGTGTCCTTGACCTCCCATCCCTGGTAGACAGACCCTGTGTCCTTGGCCTCCCATCCCTGGTAGACGGACCCTCTATTCTTGTCCTGTGGAGGCTGGGGGCAGACAGGTGCTGATGATTCTTCTGCTGGTGCCTGCAGTGGGGTGAGGATGGATGTTTTGCCCTCACAGCAGTCCCAGTGGGTGCTCCAGACCCAGACCTCTCACAGGGTTTTTCCCTCCGTGCCTTGCCCCCACGACAGCATCAGCCTTTGGCAGCAGAAGTGGGAGTTTTTCTCCTTAGTTGATTCACCTCAAGACCCAGTCAAAGGAAGGAAACCCAATCGCTAAGAGGTCAACTTCTTTATCATACCTAGGGAGTCAGAATTAGGTCCCATTCTGGTTATCAGTACCTTCTTTCTGGCTGGATCTTGCTGACATTTTAAACCTAGACCCGCTCTGGAGTAGCTGACTCATGAATTGGTAGTACATTCAGGCAAGGGCTTCACCTTTAATGATCCATTAACCTTCATAATAGCCCTTTGAGGTAGGTAATATTATTATCTTCATTCTACAGGTGAGGGAACTGAGGCACAGAGAAGTTAAGTCACCTGCCCAAGGTCAACAGCAAGAAATGGCGAGTCAGGCTTGGGCAGTTTGGCTCCAGAGCCTATGCTCTGTACCTCTGTGCTATGTCAACCCCCTTTTCTCATTCCACCAGAGTCAGAACTTAGCACGATATTACTAGGTGGTTCCCCCCCCCCCCCCAAAGAGATTTAAAAACAATCCACGGTAAATGCTTCATGCTCAAGCATGACCTTTGGCTGTTACTTTTCCTCATTCACAAGGTGAGTGATCACAAGTGGAATTAAGTGAGATGCTTGGATGTAACGGTGGGGCACGTGCTTTTCATTTGAAGTCTCATCTCCTGATACGTCTGCTAGATTCTGTGTTTGATTTTAAGAATAAGTGTTAAACATTTCCACCCCATTAGTGAGCCTCTTCAC